TGCTTGTCAAGATAATACATGATGTTAAAGCATGATGATAAAAATTGAATTTAGGTCCACAAAACATATTGTTCCCTAAAAGGAAGGCAATAAATAATAAAGGTTACTTTATGTTAGAATGTCAGAATTATAGACATAGTCAAAATGTAAGATATTTTATACTCTTTCAAAAAGTAAAATGCCCTCATAATTAAAGTCAAAGTGATTTCTTTTGTTTACTTTTTTTTTTTTTTTTATTTCATCTTTTTTTTTTTTTTTTTTTTTGAGATCATCATCTCCCTTTGTCACAAGGGCTAGAGTGCCATGGCATCAGCCTAGCTCACAGCAACCTCAAGCTCCTGGGCTCAAGCCATCTTCCTACCTCAGCCTCCCTAGTAGCTGGGACTACCAGCACACGCCACCATGCGGGCTAATTTTTTATATTTTTAGTAGAGACAGGGTCTCACTCTTGCTCAGGCTACTCTCGAACTCCTGAACTCAAGCGATCCTCCCTCCTCAGCCTCCCAGAGTGCTAGGATTACAGGCGTGAGCCACTGCGCCCAGCCTAATGTCCCTATTTCTTCACTTATTTCTCCCAGCATATCAAAAATAGTGTTTTACAATAAATATTAGTAAATATTTAGTAGTAATTCATTTTAAATAAGTAATAGCAATAGAAATAAATATTACTTTTAGAGTTCAAAGAACCTAGAGGTCTGAAATAATCTAATCTACCATACATTAATAGTCAACATCCCTGAGAAATGGTAACATGGCTCCTTTTAATACCACTGGAAACTCAGGACTTAGTTATAAATACATTCCCCTAGTGAACAGTTCTAGTTGTTTGAAAATGTGTGGTAGAAATCTGCCTCCCTAAAACATCCCCTAAATCCTTGATGTTACCTAGTTTAGAATCTTTCCAACTTATTGTGAAACCCTAGAATCAGACCCCTCTTGGGGAATCAGTGGCCTAAGGGATTTGTAGATATTCAAAAGAAAGGTCTAATTAAAGCAAAGTGGATGTATTTCCAGAGAAATATAACTGACCAGCACCCAAAAAGTCCCTCAGACTATAGTATACAATGAGTAGGGTCTGGTCCTCAGGTCTACAAGTGCAGAAGATTGATATTACAAAACCCCAGAACTAAGTGGGCTGAAGAAAGCTGACTCTTGAGCCCTTTCCAAAAAATACACAGAAATTCAGAACCAGTCAATTCAATCAAATGAAATATATAACTGTCAAACGAGTAAGACATACATGTTCAAATGGTCAAAACCATTCCAATGTGTAGGCTACATAGAAGTCTAATTATTTTAAGACTAATTATATGCAGAACATCAGAACAAGAAAATGGGTTAACTGAGTGAATATCTAATAGCATCAAACACTAAAAGTCTGGTGCCTCTATCTCTGCAGTTGGGACTCTGGGCTTGCTAGTTCAAGTTGGTTTTTCAGGACACACCACCTTGGAGAGCACTCAAATAGGTGACACAATTTGACTTTCAGAACTTTTTTGGCCAAGCTCTAACTCTTCTCCTGAGGAAAACATTCTTTAGAAATACAGATAGCTGTAGTCAAATTTATACTGTCTTATTTAACCTTTGATCCATAATATGTTGCTTTGATAGATTAATTCTTTGAACAACATCTTATCTCCAGCTTTTTGACATGCATTGGGCTGTGTTGATTTAAGTCTGAACAGCTAAGTCTAGCTCTGCCTCCTTTCTACCCACTTTACCTTATTTGACTTGTAGTAACGGTAAAGCCCTGCCATTTGCCAATCTCTCCATCTCTTTGGCTTTCCTGTCTCTTTCCCTGCAAGCACCAGGTTAGAAACAATATGTGTAGCTGTGCTTAGAACAGCCACCTCAATAGCTCTTGACCAGAGTGTTGTCTAGCAATGGGCATGTAGCCCTATTAGCTCTGCTGCAAATAACTCAGATTATACCAGAAATTGTTTCTTAAAAGGGTCAGGAACCTTTTCAGAACAAACCATATATAAACATTTAAACAGGAAAATGGTTGGGGATTTTAAACAGGGACATGAAGAGTTTCTACCATTGCCACTATCTCTTTTAGAAGAAAGAGCACAACCTTACATTAAACCTATTTTTAAATGGAGGATGGAGAAATTGATATATAAAATGGTGGATGAAGAAATTGACATCTAAATCATCAGCCACTGGAGAAAACATGCAGACTTCCAAAGTATCATTTTTATGTCATTTTAGATTTTTAAATTTTTTATTATTGTGTGAATACCCACTATACAAAAACATCAAGATCACAAATACTTATCATGGCCCATACACATATTTGTTTGGGATATTAGATTTCTGTGTTTCTACTCTTCTTAATATACTTAAATCTCCTTTCTAAAATATGTCTATTGCATTACTAGAAGTGGTTATATATTCAGGTTTTCAATCAACTGGTTTACTTGATTGGATTGACTATAAATTTGTTGACATATATTGATGATTCCTCATTTTCTTTCCCAGGGATCATTTCTTCTACTCATTTATTTTCAGTCTCTCTACTTTCTTATTTGACAGTATCCTACGAGCAGCATAGCAGAGCACTCTAAGCTCATAAGGAATAGTGTAAACTAATTAGCAGATTTTATGATGGAAACTATTCCCCTCCCACGTGACCACTCTGACTGGATAATGAACTTTGTGAAAATATCCAGCTCTTACCATACTAAGGCAACAGCCTCATTCAAGCAGGCTCTTATTTTGCCCTTCGCCTGCAGTTCATAATTGTAAATATGGTACAAATCCAGAAGTAAACTGTCAGAATGGGGCGAGGTGCAGTGTTAAAAAAATAAAATAGCCTAAATGATGGATTTTGAGTTAAGAAGATTCTTGATCTCTTTTTGCAACTGACAAAAAGAAAAATAGCCCTAATAAGATCTATTTGAAAAATAATATGACTGAAAAAACAGCATATAACTGAAATTTAGAAAGGTTCACAGAAAATTCCCCTGCTTGCAGGGGTGCAGAAGCACAGCAGGGTTTCTAACAAACACAAAACAGAAGTGTTGAATAGTTCGTTATGGAAAGAAGATCCAGAAATAAGAGTGAAAATCAGTGCTGGTTCATTACATCCGCAGTGGGACCTACAAACCTCACTGCTAAAGCAGACCTTAAACAGCAGATACGTGGTTTGATCACTCTAGCTGGTAGCCCCCTGCCCCTGGAACAGAACGAGCCCAGTCTTCTCTGTGGATTCATGAATTGCTCTGCTTCTATTTTGGTTACATCTTCCCATGTGGGAAGTTTCACCCAACACTACCCACTTTAGTATTGGTGTATTTGCTTATTTCTGGTGCAATTTGCTACCAAAAACACCATGCCACAGAATTTCAAAGTAACTTCAAAGAATATAGGAGAAACCAAAAAAGAAAGTTCTATACACTCTTAGTCTTCTCCAAGGACGTAGTTCATTCAATTTAATGGCAATTATCGATGCAGAATATTATAATGCAGACAAAGGGATCGCCAACCACCATCGCTAAAGAGACACAGATATAGAACAAATGAATGATTTAAACATCATCTGCGAGCTCTCTAGCATGTTGATTGTTGATTGTAAATCCCTTACAAATTTGGGTATGTAACTTGAAATATTGCCCATCAAAAAAATGTATGTAAATATTCCTACACAAGAAAGCACTAAACATATTAAACAATTTATTTCAAAGTTTAATATTTTGCAGATGGCATCTGGATCTTAAAATGTATAGATATTTTACAGCTCTGCTTAAACATAAATAATACATTTGTCTGATTCACTGATACCAAAGGTACATTTTTCTCCTGATGAATATGCCATCATCCATGACTACCAGTAAAAACTGTAAGGATGCACTATAATTAAAAACTATATCCCTATATGGAAATAATAGGCAATAATCTATTTAATAAAAATAGGAATTAACTCACAATATTTCATTATTGCTGACCAGTTACTGTGGTGTTGACAAGTGTCTTTCAATTGAAGAGTATCTTTAGATTGGGGTCAGGAAAGCTATATTTCTCATATGTTTGGGCAGAAATTTTCAAGAATATCAGATTTCAGATTTAGGAGAGACTCAAAAAAGGCAAAAATTTTATTATAAAATGAACATACGAAGAATCAAAAGACCACTTGAAAATGGCATTACGAATTTGAAGCAAACGTATTTGGACTAACAAAGGTCAGAAAAAATATTTACATATCTTTATAAAAACATGACAAAACAAATAAAATGTTAATGACAGAGGAAAGAGTCCATTTTAAAACACAAGTGTTTTCTTTATCATAAGTTTAAATTTCATATAGTAGTGTTAACATAGGCCAAATATTATGCATTAAAATGCGCTTATAGCATTCAGTGTGTACTGTGTGAATATCTACATATGTGATTCTAAAATAACATCCTCTCTTTCAATAGCTTTATTTTGGCAATAAAAAAATGTCTGCATGCTAGTAAAAATCATGTTCACAGTAGATTTAAAAAGTCTGAAAGAATACATTTGTTGAAATTTGCATTCGGTTTGGAAAATGTCTGTTTAACAATTGAACATAGCCATATTTTAACTTTTAAGCTCCCACATTGAGAAAGTATCACGGTATTACAGCAATTTACTCCTAGGAACATTATGCTGGGCTTTGAAATTTGAAAAATGGGATATTTCTTCTTGGATTATTTTATGATCAATGTACAGTCTCTACACAAGGAAAATTAAAGCTGTCTGATAACTCACAGAAACATCACTGCCTGTTAAAGATGTAGGAAATTGCATAAAAGCATAAAAAGCACTGGGTAATTTTGCAGTTTCATCTCTAAACACCATTGTAAAGATGCCTGTCTTTCAATTCTTTCTCCTGCTTACTTCTGAAGCATGGCCTTTTAGTTCTTGCCCTTTTAAATATCTTTGCCTACTGTAGTTTTGCTTGTTAATGTACTGGTTGATCTTACTGGGCTAAGAACGTATTAACAGGGGGTGCTTGCTTTTATCTGTATTCACAGAGAATGCTAACAAATTAGAAGAAAGTGCCAGAGAACGCCACGAACCTTGTGCAGAACATTACAATGGCTTCTGTATGCACGGGAAGTGTGAACATGCCGTCAATATGCAGGAGCCATCTTGCAGGTAACATTTTTACTCTCCAGCTGTTAACATGTATAAAGTAAAAAATCTACGTAGATGTTTACAGAGCATTGGTTGGCATTCTATTTGAATGATCACCAGCAAAACTTTTCTCTGCCTCTCCTGAGTGTGCGCAAACACCCAGACACACACCCAAACAGGCACGCCCTAGAAAACCATAAAATGTGTGTGGCTTGCACACTCAAGTTTTATGTATCACCTCCCTATATGTACTCTTCTAGTAGAATTTAAAAGTGTATTTGTGCCTTACAAGCTCCTTAAAGGCACTAACTGTCCCGTATTCTCCACCACTCTTTCTCCCTGAACATAGAACAGTACTTGGTACCTATCAGGTGCTCAATAATATTATTTCTTAGACAAACAGATGCAGCCATGTGTATACTAGATGATATAGTTGCTTCTGGGAGGTCATCTTTTCCGAACTCCTTCGGGTCTTCTAATAAATATTATCAATCCTTGTTTGCCAGGCACTGGCTATTTTCTATGAATCTGCTATCTATAGAGCCTGGCATAGTGAAATTATTAGCCACACCTCTGCTGTTCCAAACTCTTTAAAGACACAAAGAAATTGTTTGTCTGGATTTAGTTTATAAATATAAATACCGGCTGTGTGTTCATGTCAAAAACATAGTTATTTTAGAGATGGTAAAGCTAAAGTGAAAAACAAATTTATTTTTATTTAAAATACAAGCAGAATATGGTGAAATAGGTTATATTTTGATATACAACAAAAAGTCTCTCTCTCTCCCACCACACACCCCAATCATCCAGAACTGTCTTCCTTTCATGTTTCCCTTCACTGAATATACTAATGCCTGCCTTCTAGGAAGCCAAGCAGGGTGAACATAACTGGGGGGTTACCCCCTGCCCCTCACTCCTCAGCAGAGTCATCATCATTAACTGTTTCTGGCACAGAGAAGAAACATCTCAGGATGTAGTTATGAGAAATTCAAAGTAAAGTCATAGAATGGAAGAGAATTGATTTTGATTCCACAAAATCAATGACAAGTTGATCCCCTTTCGTGTCATGGTTTTTTTTTAATGAGCTGTTTTCTCAATTCATTGTCAAATGCTAATTTTAATATGCAGATTGTCTACGTGAGCTTTCTTTTGGGTGAGGGTTGACTGAGTGAGAGGCAACATTCATTCTCAGAGGAACAGTGCTTGGCTTGTTTTGTGCAACTATATTGCCTATATCATTTTCTTTTAATTTTTCTTTTAACCAAATTTAGCTCCCTGACATTATCACATGACTTCGGACCAGCAAATTAAAGATGACTCTTGCTGGACCTCTGACCCTAATAGTTTTCAACATTTATTCTGACAATAGCATAGAGAATGTTTTATCCAAAACAAGTAAATAAATGGACTTATTTTTTGTTCCCCTGTCATTGGAAACAAACCTTTCTCAAGTAAACATGTTGATTTAGATGGATTAAAGAGCAAATTAAATAAAATGTAAAGTTCATCTGAAAAAAATATAGAAAGAACAGTTATCCCTGAACGCGTATTATCTCTCTATATTACCATAAAAATAAATTATCTAATAATCTTCCTATCTTCAAAATCCATTATTATAAATAATAAAAAGAAACAACACACCTTACAACCTACAAACACAAAGAGATCTTGTTGAAAATAAGTACTTGAAAACCATATCTACAAAGTAGTATTTATTTAGAAAGGGAGACAAAAAGCCCTAGTTTTGTGATGAAGATAAATGCCTATAGGCCAACTATGTAAATGAATCCAGTAGCTGCAGGTAACTGGGCACTGTAATTTCTTCCAGGTGTGATGCTGGTTATACTGGACAACACTGTGAAAAAAAGGACTACAGTGTTCTATATGTTGTCCCCGGTCCTGTACGATTTCAGTATGTCTTAATCGCAGCTGTGATTGGAACAATTCAGATTGCTGTCATCTGTGTGGTGGTCCTCTGCATCACAAGGTCAGTACTGTACTGTATTTGGCGGCCACCCACATAAAGGGATATATTGTTCCTCCTTTTTAAAAGTCAGACGTCTCTGATTATGAGTTCCTTCATGGACTCTGCAGCCATTCATTCTCTGTAAGTTCTATTTCCTCATCATAAAAGCATTTGAATAGCCAAATGGAAAGGCATGAATTTTCATGTTGGAGTGGTACAAGTTATTTTCCTTATTTTTGCATGATGATGAGGATTGTTTGTCTTTTAAGCAGAGGTTTTTAGTTCTATTTTTTTTTCCTCTAACATATAATGCCAACCTTTGTTTAAAGGTTTAAATGCTTTTCCTTTTTAACTAGAAAATGGCAGTCTTCATTCAGGCTACTAACAGACTATTTAAATGACCAGTGTATCCTTACCTACCCGGATCAGTGTGCCAAATGAGATCAGACTAGATTTTATACAAGGTCTAGAAAAGCATTAAAATATAGCTCTCATTTACAGAACTTATATTTCTAAGTGTAACTCTTACATATAATCAGTTTTAACCTATCTTGGTATAAACAACAAATACATTTTTATTATAGCTTTTAACCACAAAATACAAAAAATTATAATTAGAAAGATTATATTATAGTAAAAGAATATCTTTGATAAATAGAAACATGTAGCAAATATCATAACAAGCTTTTATGTCAAACTCCCAGTCAAATATAAAGGTAATTGTTTCCTGGAGAACCAGGTTGGGAGAGGTTTCATCCAGTTTCAACAGGAAAGAAAACCATGATTAATTAGTGATGTCTGACATTCGGCTTGGAGTAGAAGAGCGAGGCCAGGTACTTGCTTAATTTATTAGTATGCAAACCCCATGGTAACCAAAAATTAGATTCTAAACCAAATGCATATCATTTCTGTTCTGTGCAACCAGAAAAGTTGTTGAAGATATTTCTTTATGACCTGATTCCACTCTCCTTTAAAAGTTCCAAGGAAGTTTGAAGGTTTTCATCAAATTCATGAGGCATTTAGACTTTCTTCATTTGTACAGCTCTGCAGTAAATCAGAATGTTTCCCTAAAATTCTTTTCAAAAGACAAGAAAATAAAGGAAAGTATCATATCTTTAGAAAATAAAGGCCATAATACATCTCAGTATCTGTACTGCACTATCTACTTTGAGGACAAGTGTGGCATGTGCTCTTGAAAAAGACAAAATATGGTTCATAAATCCTCGCCTGGCCTAAAGGCTTAAGGGAAGATCATCGACTGGAGCTTTGGGATGCTCTAAGCCAAGTTGAGTTCATCAACTCGACTCTCACGTTTAGATGCCAAGTGAGTCAATGGATTATGTTAAAATAGATTCTGGGGAACATAAAGATAACTCAAGAAACCAAAAGTACTGAATATAAAAAGAAAAGAATCTAAAATACAGGAAACTGTGCTATACTACTCTAAGGGTCTGACCTTCCTAATAGCTAGGCAATATCAGTACGTGAAAAACAAAACTCATATTTAATGGATATAATAACAATTTGATTACTACTTTGAGAACTGACAGAAATGCAAAACTTTAAATCCTGTAGCAGATGTTTTCAATCCTGTTATTAATCACAGTCCCATTCCTGTGCATAATAAAAACAACTGGAATACACAGGGTCCTTTCCTCACCAGGAATTGTGTAAGTATGTATTATGTGTGACGTATCATACATGTATACATACACACACATGCATGCATGTGCACACACACATATATGCACATTTAATTACATTACAAAGAAAGAACGATTATCCCCATTTTCAAGACAGAGACCCTGAAGTGTGAGAAGTTGGCCAGTTGCTGGGTTCACACAGCTGAGCACCAAGGGCAGCCCTAGCTGGTGTCAGAGCCTGGGCGCTGCTTATACTGTCCCTCGTCTGGTCATGATTTTGTGTGTTCTGATACTCAAGGCTACCTAACCTGAGCTCCAAACTAGAGCAAGTTATTTTTTCAAAGTATGTGGCTTTTTTTTTCATTTTCCTTGTTGAAACAAAGCAAAACCTACCCTCAATTTATTTAATTTTGAGGAGGAGAAATATCACATGAACTAAATTAGCATTACTGTAATGTATTTTCTACATCTGTCCTAGGAACATCAAACCTTCCAGAGCCTTTCCAGGAGTGACTCTGTCAATAAACCATATCAATTCCCAGTATGGATTCATTGAATTCACTTAAAAAGATTTTGCTCTGAAACCAGACTTTCCAACAAAGCCATCTCCTCTGTCCTCATCCCCAGAAACTCTACTTCTCTGGTGACCCGGCTACACTGTCTGTCAAGTCCTATTTCAGAATATCCAGTTGCTGAAAGATTTACAAAATCACACCAAGCAGAGGTCCTCTCATCCCCTTTAATTTTCTTTTAATGTCTTCCTCACCAGGTCTCTCTTCTCTCCTACATCTCTCTTCTTTCTCTTCCTTCTTCCTACTTTCTTTTCATTCTAATTCCTTTTCCTCTTCTTTCTTTACTATTTTAGTCAAACACCCACTCTCCTCCTAAACACAACATGTGTCACAAAACAATAAGTACATCCAGAGGCAAGTTCCAAAATGAAGAGTTGCCCTATTAAAAAGTTGGATTTTTATTCCTTTTATCTCCAGCTCCCACTTGCTAGGAATGTTATCTCCAGCTCCATGTTCATTTTGACAGATCTATCCTTCCTCAAAAATATATACATATTATATGTGTGTGTATTTATACATATTCTTATTCTCTGATACCCCACAGCTTATTATAATAGGATTTTATATGAACTGTGTATTGTTGTTCTCCTTTGCCTAGTCAAAGCATTCTGTTTATTATAAGAGAAAAAAACACTAGATCAGAAATTTTCAGATAATTTAACTGAATTTGACTGTATTAAAAATCTAATATTAAAAGATTAATATTAGTACTAAATAGTTAGTATCAATTTATGTCTCTCTAGGTCCTAGTATTAATGCACGAAAATGATAATAGGCCAAACCAAAACAGTATCCCTTTCCATTACATATCAGCTATTTAGAGTTGGCTCATTCCCTGGTTTGATAGGATTTAAACTTGTGGCATAGAAATGTCAATATAACATTCATTCTTAGGACATTTAAAACAGAAATTTGTTGAAGACCTTTAAAGTGAGATAAGATGAGCTCATGGACTTGCTCGATTGCATTGTGCTGAGTCATTCTTTGTGCCTTAATGAGTAAGCAAGGTAAACGTGTTCCTCTTCAACTTCTGCCTCTGCTCTTCAATTCTCAACAGAAGTTTAAAGACAACTGCAAAGAAAAGCAAAACAATAACTTTTCCAAAATAATTCCAGCTCCTACTAATAATAAATTCTTTCATCTGAAATATTGTAATAATTTGCTTAATCCACAGCTTCACTCTGTGATTGTAGGACCAAACTTTAGGTCATAGCATTGGACTAAGATCTGTAAACTTTCCAACCTTCTAGGAAATGCCCCAGAAGCAACAGAATTCACAGACAGAAGCAAAATACAGGGCACTACAGTTCAGACAACACAACAAGAGCGTCGACAAGGTTAATCTAAAGGGAGCATGTTTCACAGTGGCTGGACTACCGAGAACTTGGACTACACAATACAGTATTATAGACAAAAGAATAAGACAAGAGATCTACACATGTTGCCTTGCATTTGTGGTAATCTACACCAATGAAAACATGTACTACAGCTATATTTGATTATGTATGGATATATTTGAAATAGTATACATTGTCTTGATGTTTTTTCTGTAATGTAAATAAACTATTTATATCACACAATATAGTTTTTTCTTTCCCATGTATTTGTTATATATAATAAATACTCAGTGATGAGAAAACATTGGCATTCTTAAATTTGCGGTATCTCATAACTGTAAATATAATCAAACAAGTACAATCTGTACAGGTACCAATATTTCATCTTTCTCCACATTTTGAGACAGCACATTAGTTTGTAGAGGACTCAGTGGCTAGGTTTTGAGTGATTCCAAGATCAAGGGAAATGATGGTTATTGGAAAAGAGAAAAAATAATTTACTTTATATCGAGTGCAGATAAAATATTTCAGATCTTTGAGTCATCTCTATTTCATCAACTTTCTTCCCTGGTTTTCCATTTTCATCCTCAGAGCAGAAAAAGTCTCTGGCATATAAATTAAATAAAAGAAGAAAGGAAGGGAAAGTGTTTTATAACTCATAAAGGAAAGAAAAGGAAGATATTGGTTTTTATTTGGGAAACAGCTTAGCATCTCCCAGTTAAGGGCATATATCCAAAGGGGCTTGAACAAGTTACATATCAGGTATGCATAGGCCAGAAAAATATATTCCATTAGGCAAGTGGAATTAACAACCAGGGGAATAATAATAACACCATTAATGTGAAACATCACAATTGTGAATTCTCAAAAGCACTATATTTATGGTACATGGTTCTTTGAAAAAAAGGTAGACTCACAACTAAATACCCCATGAATAGCTTTATAGCTAATGCAGCACCATTATTTGAAATGGAATTAATATGACAATATTTCATGAAAACAGAAATATGTTTTGAGCATATTTATATGATGAGATAAGAAAGAAAATCCCATAGCATCTGAAAGACTTTAGTGGGAAGTTGGTATGGATTTTTGTTTGATTTATGCATACAAATAAGTATCACCACTTGGTTTGGAAAAAAACTGTGAAAATTCTCAAAGAATAAGATGAAAATAAATCAAGTAATTGCCTTATTATCATTTAGCTCTGCAAAGCTTTCCGTGGCTAACATAGTAAATCTAAATAAAGCTCTCTTTGTCTCCTTCAAATGACCTCTGTGTGAACTAAAAAAAAAAAAAAATTCCTGTGTCCAAAAAAATAAAAAAAGACACAAATATCCAGTCAACACATTCTGAATATAAAATATTCAGTGAAAAATTACTTTTAGTTTTCTGAAGTGATGTTTAAGATACTTGTTAAAACATAAATAAAGGTGACAATCTAAATAGGATTTAGGACTCTGAAAAACCTGGTTTCTAGATTAGTCATCACTTTGAAAAGTGTGAATCTATTGCCATAACCATCACTCAAGTGTTCCTATAAATCAGTCGTATGCTACTGGTACAAGAAAAATTCCCTTTAAACTTCTGCATCAAAGTTTGGTTTGGTTAACAGGTGCAGAGATGTAACTGGCCCTGGTCTCCTTTGTAAGGTGGCAGTTGTAGCAAAGAAACCATCCCTCTTCCTATAGAAGGAGAAAAAAATGCAACATCAACAGAGATTTGTAGAGTTTAAAAGAAACTACAATTCCACTGACTTTTGCTTAAAAGAGTATGAAATGATTTGATTTGTTAGATATGGATGCATCACTACATGTGAACAGGTGAATTTTTATCAAAGGGTCAAGTCCTAAAACCTTGGAGTTAATAATACAGTACACTCCTGCCACCTCCATGCTCACCCTGCCCATGCAGGAATCCCTTTTAAAGATGCATAACAATCTCAAGTGAGCATACAGTATGTGCCAGGCACTATTTAAGGTCCTAGGGAAATACAAATACAACAAGGACTCTCCTCTAAAAGGACTCACAGTCTAGTCCTGACAGATAATCATTCGGCCTCTACTTGTACATTTCTTATAATTTGGAATCTCACTCTTGGACAGTTCTAATTTTTCAGACAATGCCTCTTCATATTTAGCTGAAATTTACATCTCTGCTTCTATCCATGGCTCCTATTTTTTCCTCACTGGAGTAAAGGAATAATGACTTCATTTCAAATTTAAAGCGAGAAATCATGTTTTCCCACTCACCCCACAGTCCTTCTGCAAGTATTTCTTCTCCAAGAGAAACATCCTTAATCTCCTCATCTGTTCTACATGCAATATGATTTCCACACCCCCTAGCATCTACGTCATCTTTCCCTGGACAAACTCTACTTTGTCAATATATTTGTTCAGTTGTAGAACTCAGAATTGCACAGTCTAATACAAATGTTGGCTGACCAGCACGATATGTAGTAGAGCTTGTAAAAAACAAATTTAACTGAGAGCCATGATCTCTAAATTCAAGCCCTACTTCAACCACAAATTTGCTGTGGAACCGTGAGCAATTCATTTCAGAGCTCACATCTCAGTTTCTTCATCCATAAGTCACTTCTAGCTCTGTAATTTCAAAAGTCTATATATTCAGCAAAAGGCACTCTACTTTTATTATTGCTACCCAAGACCACATGAATTATTTTTGTTGTTTGTCCTCAACTTAAATTCATAATTCTTTTAAAGTAAACAGCTAATAAGCCATGTCATTCACTTACTCATTCACTCCTTCATTCTCATGCATTTATTATACATTTACTGAGGGACCCCAATTACCAGCATCATGTTAGGCTCCAAGAAGACAGATAAATAAGGTAGAGTCCCTGCCTGAAAAAAACTTGCTGTCAGATCCTCTTGGTTCCTTGCATCAAAGATCTCAAGTTCCTTGGATGGACACAGTGGCTCACACCTGTAATCCTTGAACTCTGGGAGGCTGAGATCAGAGGATCTCCTAAGGTCAGGAGTTCGAGACCAGCCTGAGCAAGAGGGAGACTCCGTCTCTACTAAGAAACACTTAGCCAGGCGTGGTGGCGAGCACCTGTAGTCCCAGCTACTCGAGAGGCTGAGGCAAGAGAATTGCTTGAGCCCAGGAGTTTGAGGTTGCTGTGAGCTGGCCCGACACCACGGCACTCTAGCCTGGACAACAGAGCAAGACTCTGTCTCAAAAAAAAAAAAAAAAAAAAAAAAAATCAAGGTCCTGTGGGGGAAACTGAAAAGTAAATAAAATTTATAATGAATGTAACAAAGGCTCTGATACTGGTCTGTGCTTGGGTCCCTCCAGGAGGGACCTCCAGGTTGGGTAGGTGTGCCTTTTCGCAGTAAGATACACAGAATGACTTCATCATTCTCCACACATACTCTGTCTTCTTGCTTGTGAGATGTTATATACTCCACGCATTTTCTGCACATTCTTCTTCACAATATACCCAGAGCAGATAATAGCTGATTCATGCAGCTCCATGACTTCTTTAACAGTACTCCTAATGCTGTTGCTACACTTTCCATGTTGCTCCTTAATATCCCAGACAAGTCTATCTTTCCCTTAGCCTGGGAGCAAGAAAAAGCCAGAAAATGAATGCCTTGCTGTTTGTTTCCATTTATTCAATTAACATTTATTGGATGCCCAATAAATGCCAGACACCATTCTAGGTGCTGTGGTGTAGCAATGAGGTGGCTAACAAGTCTCTGTTTGCAGGCTCACCTCATAGCAGGGTAGGTGAAGGTGGAATGAGGGGAGGGAATTTATCAAACAATAAACAGAACTGGAAAGTTTTAAGTTCTACTCAAAGAATTAAAAATAGGTGACTGGATAGTGGTGAGGATTGGCTGCCTCCAATGTAATATTTAAAACTTGGTTTCTAAAGCCAGGCAGATATGAGCCCCACTCTAACCTCCACTTTACTAACTAAACCTTGAGCAAGTCGCCTGACTTCTTTATGCCTCATATTTAAAATGGAGAGAAAAATATCTTCTCAGTCTCAGTATGACTGGTATCAGAAATAAATAAGACACCCCATGTTAGGGCTCAGAACAGTGGTATACACAGAGTAAACATTGAATATATGGAAATTATTTTGCAGGGCTATGATAAATATTTATTATAAAAATAAATAAGACAAAACCATATTTTTTGTCAGTTAAATAATGCATAATAAGCATCTTATGGTCTGAGCTAAAGAGAGTCAAGGAATCCTACTTACTCAAAGGTATGTCTCTTGTATGACAGGAGAGCTGGTTTGGATTTGGGGAAAATATGGCAACAGAGTTAAGAAACAATACAGCCCCTCTAATTTTTTTTTTCAAATGAGTCCACAGGTATTGTGTCTGGACAAGAAGGGATATCATTCTATTTTAAAAGAGGTCTGTCCCTACCATACAGAAGTACTTGAAAACAAACAAAAATAACAAAAATAGTTCTGTCCTGACAAAGCATACACCAATAAATCTCTGGTGTGTTCCTAAACACAGATCGAGTCAATATTGCAGTGACTGTGCAGGACCAAATGTTTACTTGCATAGATCCTGGAGGAGAAGTCAGTGCAGAACACTGAAATATGACAGCGATTATCTCAAAGTCATATTAGACTCGCTACTAATGTTTATCTTTAGATGCCATTTCCCTTTGCCAAAGTCATGCAGAACCTGACCCACCTGTTACTCTTCTTCAATTATAGTAGACATTTCAGTTATAGAATTAATCATCTAGATATCAATAACAAAAGCTTTTTCATTGAATTAATTGGTATCTCTATATGAGCATCCACAGGAAGCTCATATAAAGGATGGATAAAGGAAGGATGAAAGATTATATAAAGTAATGGGATTGGTTTTATAACGAACACATAAATATATAAATGAACGTGGCCCTTTGAAATCAGCATCAGGAAGTTATGTGTGGTGTGCTACCCACCAGTCACAGCCAGGCCTCCTTGCAGCCTCGCCATGGTCAGAAATCTATTTTACTGGTCCCCCTACTCTGGGAGTGGGGCCTCAGTTGATATCTCTCTCCAGTAATACACAATGTATTATTTCAACTTGGGATTTTTGCAGGCTTTTAATTTTTTAATTATTTACCACTTATTAATTATATTACTATTTCTCTTATATCAGAAATTAAGAAAATAATTCTTCCTTTTATTTTTTCAAGCCAAACTTAATCCAGCATAAGAACCTAGCTCAGAGCTAATGAGAAGTCCGAAATCAGGTATTATGAGGGAAAGAGAGAGAGGAACAGGAGCAAGGCCTGACCCTCTGCTCTTAGTGGTCCCATTGTCATGGATAAACCTTCCAGTTTTGCAGATCCACGGAAGGCACTCCAGCCCTAGCGATCAGCCCACGGAGGCATCTCTCAGGACCCACGCAGTCGAACCCATTCTTCTGGGTGTATTTTGAGAGGGCTCAATGCCCTTCTTCTCTGTGGCTGTCTCCCCTTGCTGGGCTTCCTCCCATTCTCAAAATACTAACCGCCTCTTTTTTCTCTACCTCATGAAGTATCCATCCTCTGCCACGGCCCTTCTCTGCCACAATCCAGTTTAATTTATTTTCCATGGATGTAGATCTTGAAAACAGAGGCCTTTTGATGAGTCCGGCTATGAAAATAAAGCACAGAGTAATTTCCAAATTATCACCATGGTACATCAAATTATTAATAAATATACTACATAAGTAATAACCAGTAACATTAGAAAATGTAGATAAGCCAAAAAACATAAAATAATCCCACCACCAAGAACAAAGCACCATGGCATTTGTGTATATTGTTTCAGATAATTTCTATAAACATATGTTGAGGTTTTTTCAAGATAAGAAAATAATTTATTAATAAATTGAACCCCCACTAAAGAATAAGCTGTGACATTTAATAGTCATTTAAGCATAATTTATCAAATTGCACATATACACAGAGTGATTCTTGTGTAAGTTTCAATCCCTCTCAGTAAGGAATCAGTGAGGTCTTTAAAGAGTTTAGCTGAGGATGATCTCTAGCATCTCTTTCTTTTCCCCTGTATCATTAATTTACCACCACCACACATACTACTTAGAAGAGGTTCTTTCTAGTCGTAGCAGTTTCATACCAGTTGCAAGCCATTTTCAGTCTCATGGTTTCCACCTGTCCAAAGTTTACCCATAAAGCATGAAGACCTAATCGACAGTTTCTCTATAATCGCCCTCTACCGAGATCTAGAGACTCTAAAGCAGTTTAAGACTCCACTCACTCTGAGGATACTTATT